CACTGCACTCCAGTCTGGGCAACAGAGTGAGACTCCAACTCAAAAAAAAAAGACATCACTAGATAATAGGAATTTTTCAGCTTCATTGTACTCTTACGGGACCAACTTCATGTATGTGGTCATTCGTTGAATGAAGCATCCTTATTTGGCACATGAGTGTATAAGGAAGTTTATTGTACTGTTCTCACAACTTTTTTGTAATCTTGAGTTTTTTCTAATTAAAAGTTTAAAAATACATATGTGTGTATATCCATACTCTATCCAGTCCACTTCACCGCATCCATCTTGATCCAAGTCACCAACATCTATTGCTTGAATTTAAAAATCACTCCTAATGGGTTTCCCTACTTTTCTGTCTTTCTCCCAGCTCTGCAGTGTATTCTCAAAACAGCAGCAACATGACAAATTATATCACTTCTCTGCTCAAGGTCCTCCAGTGGCATCTCATTTCAATCGCATCCTTGTCCTAATGATCTACAAGGTCCTAGGTCTTCAGTTCTCTCCCCGTCCTTGCACTCTGATCTTTCACCTGCAGACCCCCTTCACTGCTCCATCCACACTGCTCTGCTTGAACTCACTGGGCATCATGTCAAGGCCTTTTTACCGTAGCTGTTTCCTCTACCTAGAACACTTTCTCTGGATATCCTCATGACTAATTTCCTCACTACAGTCAAACTGTGTTTAAATGTTATGCTTTTCATTGAATTTTATCCCAATGATCCCTTTAAAAATCATAAACAATACTTTCCTCACCCCAGTGTTCCTGATCTCATTTATTCCGCTCTATTTTCTGCATGGTTTTTAATCCCTGTTTAATGTATTGCATAGTTAGTTGTTTACTACATTTATTGTTTGTCTCTTCTTAGAATTTATAATGCACAAGGCATGGATTTTGTAGTATTCAATAATGTTTCTTTCCCAAATGCCAATATAGATTATCATTTGTCTCAAGTGGTTTTCTTTTCTTTTAGATAGGCAGTAGATTTTTTTTGTTTGTAACTTACCAAAGTTTGTTTCTTGACTGCTGCATGATTTGCATCTGTAACAAGGGTAGAACTTCTGACCATTAATTTTCAGGAGAAAAACGAAAGGGAGAAATTGATTCTTTTTTTTTTTTTTGAGTTGGAGTCTCACTCTGTTGCCCAGACTGAAGTGCAGTGGCAGCTCCCGGATACTGCAACCTCGACCTGCTGGGCTCCAGCGATCCTTCCACCTTAGCCTTCCGAGTAGCTGGAATTACAGGCATGTGCTACCACACCCGGCTGATTTTTTTGATTTATTTTAGAGATGAGGTCTCGCCAAGTGCCCAAGCGGGTCTCGAACCTGCAGTCTCAGGCAATCCACTCACCTCAGCCTCCCAAAACGCAGGATTACAGGCTGAGCCACCGAGCACAGCAGATTTTCTTTTTTTATTAATAGTGGATAATTATTCCAAAGATATTCATCTTTGATTTCTTCAAAGACAGAGGGAAAAAGTTGTATTGCCAGTGGAAAATTTTTAAAAATAGGATATAATTGCTTTATATAAATTTCATTAAGAGTTGTAGAACATTTGGAAAAATAAAATTATGATTTTGGCTTTTTTAGCATTTCAAAAGAATTTTCAAAGCATTGTACAGCATTTTAGTTTATGGAGAACTAGAGCAGTCTTATTTATATTTTCCCTTGTTTTAAAAGACTTGGCCTTTTAACTTCTTTAAGGAAAGGGAGCAGTAGAGTATAATCTTAAAATGGCGTAGACTTTAAGATATCCCTGACATTGTACTTCAGGGTGCCTTCTGATTTGACCTCTAAACACTTGTGTGTCCTTTTTGTGCATTAATGTGTAGATGGTACTGAAATTTTGCATTTTGTTTGAATTTTTATTCTTGTTTCTTTTAACATGCTGACTTTTTGCACATCAAGAACATGCATTAAAATTTAGCCTATAAAATATGAATCATGGTTTTATTTTGTTCTTTGTCATAGCAGCTTCACGTCAAAGCATTCGCAGAGTATCTCTGGAGGAAGTTCTGGAATTACTAGGAACAGGGTTTCTACGTGGGAGTTCAGGATTTCTTCGAGCCAGTGGAGATATGCTGAAAGGAACCAGTTCAGTCAGTAGGGATGTTCGAGTTGGAGTTACTCAGGTTGGAATCACAATTTAATATCTCAATCTGATTCTGACTGGTCTATTATGAAAATTTTAGTATCTGTCTCCTCAGAAGTGATAGTATGTAAGGTCACCACTTACACGCTCATACTTATAAATAGAAATAAATGATGAAACCAAAATATTTTTCAAAAACTAGTTTACAAGGAAGAAAATCTATTGCTCACAAGATGCTTTCCAAGTTCCTAATAATGAAAGTTTTTTATTTCCTTTGAAACACTTTTTTTTTTGTTTCTAGCCTTTGTGCTTTCATGTGTCTTGTGGGTTCACATGTTTTTCCATTGTGTTTATGTATGCTCATACAGTTCAAATGTAAGCTATTAGGTCCATATCATTTAGCATGGGTGAAATAATCATTGTGTATGGTTTTAATTCTTCTTTTTTTTTTTTTTTTTTTGAGTTGGAGTCTCACTCTGTCACCCAGACTGGAGTGCTGTGGCCACTTCTGGCCACCGCAGCCTCGACCTGCTAGGCTCCGGCGATCCTTCCGCCTCAGCCTTCCAAGTAGCCGGAATTACAGGCATGCGCTACCACGCCCGACTGATTTTTTGATTTATTATAGAGATGAGGTCTCGCTGCCCAGGCGGGTCTCGAACCCGCGGGCTCAGGCAATCCACTCACCTCAGCCTCCTAAAGGCGCGGGATTACAGGCTGAGCCACCGAGCCCGGCTGGTTTTAATTCTTAAAGATCTTTAATTTACTTCAATGCTTAACTTTTCAGTCCTCAAAAAAAAGAATCTTAAAAGGTAAACTCTTGGAAATGATGTCTTACAATAAAACAACCCAGAAGTCTCTACATTCTTTTCTTGAATATTTTTTTCTTTTCTTTTTTTTTTTTTGAGTTGGAGTCTCACTCTATCACCTAGACTGGAGTGCAGTGGCCACTCCCGGCCACCACAGCCTCGACCTGCTAGACTCTGGCGATCCTTCTGCCTCAGCCTTCCAAGTAGCTGGAACTACAGGCACGCACTACCACACCTGGCTAATGTTTGATTTATTGTAGAGATGAGTCTCGCCAAGTTGCCCAGGCAGGTTTCGAACCCACGGGCTCAGGCAGTCCACTCACCTCGGCCTCCCAAAGTGCTGGGATTACAGGCTGAGCCACCGAGCCCAGCCGGATATTTTTTTTCTAAATGCCTTAATGGTTCAAAATAAACTTATATTTTTTAAAAATATCCTCTTTGTTTTATACTGTATGTAGTCTTCATGAAAATGTGAACTTCCCAGTGTAATTATAATTAAACTGTGCTTTTAAGGAACAAAATATATAAGAAAACTACTTGTCTTTATATGTCTAGAGTAAGAAAAACCATTAATATTCGTGAAAATAAAAAGCAGTACTTTCATCATTGTAAATTTTCAGGTTTCTAGAACTAAATTTCCTTAGAATTATATTGTTGGAGCATAGTTAGATACTTATAAAGTTTTTTTATGTTTAAATTAGGTCTTCTTGTTGAGAATGTTAAATTGCTTGAAATCTTTGTTTAGTGATGCCACAGACACGTTTTACATATTCACTGGCTATGCTGACTATTCTAAAACTTTGCACAATCTGACCAAAATAAAACTGAGGCAATATAAATGAAGTCTTAGTTGAAAGATTATGCACTTCAGTTTTAACTTTAAAAAACAAAAAAATGATGCTACGTTTATATTCTTCAAGTGGCTATAAATCAGGAAAGAATATAATTTACAGGGAATTAAAAAATTGGTAAATTCTACATATTTTGTGGAAAATAATATAGAATTGGATTTATTTAATTTTGAAGATAAAACTCTTTTCTTTTCTAGGCTTACGTGGTATTTGTTTCAACACTAGGAGGAGGATGGCTAGAGAAAAATTTTGCTGCTTTTCTTTCTCATATCCTAAACCTTGTGTCACAGTCACACCCTAAAGCCACCCAAACTCAGATTGATGCTGTTTGCTGTCGTCGTTGTATTTCATTTATTCTTCGGGCTACTATAGGAAGCCTTCTTGGAGAAAAGGCTCAAATTGCTGCTGTAAAAGACATTTGCCAGGCCATCTGGAAGCTAAAGAAAGTTATGGGTATGGATCTGCCAAGACTCTTTTTTTTTTTTGATTTGGAGTCTTACTCTGTCGCCCAGACTGGAGTGCAGTGGCCACTCCCGGCCACCGCAACCTCGCCTGCTGGGCTCAGGTGATCTTTCCGCCTCAGCCTTCCAAGTAGCTGGAACTACAGGCGTGTGCTACCACACCCAGCTAATTTTTTTTTATTTATTGTAGAGATGAGGTCTCACCAAGTTGCCCAGGCGGGTCTCGAACCCGCAGGCTCAGGCAATCCACTCACCTCAGCCTCCCCAAGCAGGGGATTACAGGCTGAGCCACCGAACCCGGCTAAGACTCTCTTTTATCAGTGCTAAAGGAATTGTCTCTTTGGAAAAAAGACTGATACATTTCTTTTTTTTTTTTTTGAGTTGGAGTCTCACTCCTTCACTCAGGCTGGAATGTAGTGGCACCCTCAAAGCCAGAGCAGCCTCAACCTTCTGGGCTCCGGCAGTCCTTCCGCCTCAGCCTTCCAAGTAGCTGGAACCACAGGCATGTGCCACCACACCCGACTAATTTTTTTTAATTTTTATTGTAGAGATGAGGTCTCACCAAGTTGCCCAGGCTGGTCTCGAACCCCTGGAATCAGGCAGTCTTCACCTCAGCCTCCCAAAGTGCTGGGATTACAGGCTTGAACCACTGCGCCTGGCTATACATTTCTATATTAATATAGAAATTTTGAAGGCTGATGATAATAGTTCCTCAGAATTCACATTGTACTTCCTATAGAAGTTAAGATAAATGATTTTTGAAGCAGTCTGTCTCAGTGTCTACTCTGCTTATCGTGAGTATCAGTAATGTTGGAATATTTTTTCATTTCCCGTGAGTTCTCCCTTACGGTGCTACTTGCTAAAAAAGTAGCAAGGGATCTCTGATTGGGTTGCTTGAACTAAATTGACTATAGTAGTTCAGTTCTTTCTCTATTGATACAAGTCCCCATTTAAACATTTTAGTTATTACCTCAAGCATTTCGTATAGATCAAGTGTCTGTACTAATTTTTGCCTTGATGTTTTTCTGTTCCTAACACCCTGTACAATATATTTTAATACAGTAGTGATGCATAGCTAATTTTTGTGTTTCTATTAGATGCTGTAATAAGTGATGGTAATTTGGAAACCCGACTTAGTTCCACAGATGTAGCAGCTAGCCAGCATATGCTTGTATGTGCTCTGCAAGAACTTGGAAATCTCATACACAGTCTTGGTACCACAGCTGCACCTTTGCTACAGGACTCTAGTGCAGGTATATCTGTTATTGTTGACTCATCTGAAGACGTTGTTTTTACTATATACTCAATAACTTTTTCCAAGGAAAGAAACCTTCTTATATATCTCACTTATTATAAATTTCATTATAGATTTATTAGAGTTGTTTTATGAAAAATTTGTAATCAGAATTATCAAAAATATGTATATATTTGGGTTTTATTTTTGTTTTTGCTTTTGTAATGAAAGATTATTCTCTTAAGTCTCCCTTTGTTCCCCTTTCTGGAGATACATAACATGGAAAAACTTACCAAGAAGTGAACCTGGGTTCTAATCTCTCATCTACAGTGAAAGCATTACTATCTGTATGAGACATGTAATTCGGTTCCTCAAAGGTCTTTTTATTTTGTTTTGTTTTGTTTTTGTTTTTTGAGTTCAAGTCTCACTTTTGTTGCCCAGGCTGGAGTAGAGTGGCACCCTCACGGCCACCACCGCCTGGATCTGCTGGGCTTGGCGATTCTTCCACCTCAGCCTTCCATGTAGCTGGAACTACTACAGGTGTACATTACCACGCCAGGCTAATTTTTTTATTTATTTTAGAGATGAGGTCTTGCCAAGTTGCCCAGGCTGGTCTTGAACCCCTGGGCTCAGGAAATCCCCTAGCCTCTGCCTCTCAAAGTGCTAGGATTACAGGCTTGAGCCGCCGCACCTGGCCCTCAAAAGTCTTTTTAAACAGTCTTTATTTTCTTGCTGTCTTTGAAAATTATTTACGTAATCACTGTGTAACAACTGTATTAACATATTAACATATAATTCACATATAATGAAGTTCACTCTCACATAGTATACAATTTAGTGGTTTTGATATATTCAAAGAATTGTACAACCACTACCACTGTCTAATTCCATTGTTTTTTATTACCTCAAGAAGAAGTTCATTAGCCATCATTTCCATTTTCCTTCCCAGTCTCTGACAACCACTAATCTACTACTAATCTTTCTAGATTTACTATTCTAGACATTTCAAGTAAATGAAATTATACAGTATGTAGTCTCTAGTGACTGTCTTCTTTTTTTGATCACTTTTTATGGCTTTTGTCCTTTGTGATACTGCTGGCTGAGAAACTTTATTTGTGTTTGTAAGCTATTTAAATCTGGGATACTTATTTAAGTAAGCTTCAATGATATGCAACGTACATGTTTTGCTGAAGATGTGTGTTGTATTATAAAAATGTAGACGTTTTTCTTGCTGGTAGTGATAGTCCACTGACTTTGAAGTGGATTAGTAGCCCACTGAAGACCCAGCAAAGCCTTGATTTTCACATTTTGTTCTCATAAGAGCAACATGGTGGATATAAGCATACTAGTTATATAGATGAAATGTACTAGAAGGGATTAAAAAAGGAGAGTGTAGGCTGGGCTCAGTGGCTCAGCCTGTAATCCCAGCACTTTGGGAAGCCGAGGCTAATGAATTCCCTGAACCCACGGGTTCGAGACCACCCAGGCAACTTGACGACACCTCACCTCTACAATAACTCAAAAATTAGCCGGGCATGGTATTGCGTGCCTGTAGGTCAGGCTACTTGGAAGACTGAGGCGGAAGGATCACCTGAGCCCAGCAGATTGAGGCTGCAGTGGCCAGAGCTTGCCACTGTACTCTAGTCTGGGCAACAGAGTGAGACTCCAACTCAAAAAAAAAAAAAAAAAAAAAGAATGTGGCAAGGTATGACATTTGTTATTTATTGTTAATTTAAAATTTCTAATACCAATTTAGTAATAATTTCAAGATAAAGTTGGAAGAATATTGGCTTCTTGGGAAATAAAATTTTTCATGTGTACTGACTTAATTTAAGCCAGTTTTCATGAGATATATTAGAATTCTTAGATTAAAAAACTATATATCAATGTTTTTCTAATTTGGCTTTCAATAAAAATAATCTATATCCATGTAGTTATTTATTCTTTTGACTATTATATGCTTAAGTGAGGTTTGTCTGTGTACTAAAATCATCGTTTATTTATTCTATCTTTCCAGGCCTTCTTGACAGTGTCATTTCAGTTATTTCTCATCCTAGCATTTGTGTACGACTAGCGGCGGCTTGGTGTTTACACTGCATTGCTGTGGCATTACCTTCGTACTTAACACCTCTCTTAGATCGTTGCCTTGAACGGCTTACTGTACTTAAGTCTTCACCTGACGCAGTGACTGGATTTAGTTTTGCTGTGGCCGCTTTGTTGGGAGCAGTAAAACATTGTCCTTTAGGAATTCCTCATGGAAAAGGCAAGGTAGTGATTTTATTCTCTGTATGTGACAATGATGATTCAAGTTTCTCCTAAAACGTCATAGTCTTTTTGTATATCACCCAGTCAAAGCCGTATAGGACAGATTTTTGAGTAATCAACTGTTCTACTCCCACAGACTTCAGAGTTAAATGTTATTAACATTAACATAATTGCTGTGAAAAATGAAAGGATGGTTTAAAATGTTTGTCCACACTGAAGGAGCGCTTTTTGTTCAGAATATCTCCATGTAAAAACAAAATTTGTTTCTGAAAACTTTATTTTGCTGTATATCTAGCCCTGCCATATATCAAATGATTCCTCCCTCAGCCTCGGACTACAGCCATACCCCACCATACCAGACTAATTTAACTAATTAATTTTTTTGTTGTACAAATGGGGTCTTGCTATGTTGCCCAGGCTGATCTCAAACTCCTGGGCCCAAAGTGATCCTCCTGGCTCGGCCACAGAAAGTGCTGGGATTCAGGCATAAGCCACTGCACCCAGCCATGAGTACATTTAAAATTCTATTGTAAAGGATAAATAGAGCTGCAAAAGAAATCTTAAATTTTATTTAATGATTTTAGTTAGTGATATTATTGGTGGTATTACTTTGAAATTAGTTTACATATCATAAAATGAAATAGACAAATAATTGTTAATGTTCTTAGGAACCAAGTTTTTTTTGTTGTTTTTTTTTTGAGCCAGTATCTCTCTGTCACCCAGGTTGGAGTGCAGTGGTGCAGTCGGTTTCACTGTACCTAGTACACCTGGCTGATTATTTGCTTTTTGTATAGGTGAGATCCTGCTATGTTGCTTAGGCTGATCTCGAACTCCTGGCCTCAAGCAGTCCTCCCACCTCAGCCATCAAAAGTGGCATGAGCCACTGTGCCTGGCCAGAATTTTTTTTCTTTTTTAATAGCTAGTAATTGTAAGTTATCAGAGAATATTGTTTTACAGTGAAAGTCTTTATATCCTGCACCTTACACACGTAAATATATTTGAAAAATCATTTTTATTTCTTTTTTATTGTTACTCCTATGTCATTATTGAGTTTTATACTATATCCTTTACAGTTTATGCTCTTCGAAAGATCCTTCCATAACTTAAACAATTTCAAAAATATTTTGAGTATTGCCAGTGTGGCTGAAATAAAGTAGTTGATAACTTTGGGAGGTGACATTACTTATTTAATTTTTTTTTTAAAGAGACAGGATCTCAGTGTGTCGTCTAAGCTAGAGTACTGGCATGATCATAGTTCACAGCAGCCTCGAGCTCCTGCTTCAACCTCCCTGATAGTTAATTTTATTATTTTAGTTATATTCTGAGCTAACACATCACATCACATCTTGCTAAGCAAAAAATTGTCATAGCATGCATTTAATTAAATCTGTCCTCAGGTCTCGTTAATTCAAACAAGGTTTCCATCCCCATATTATATTTGAAATTTCTTTCTGAGAGAATATTCATTTGTCTTGATTTGACTAGAATGGTTTGTTTTGACCTCACGCTTTTTGAGTACTGTCTATTGACTGAATGGGCTATATGTGGTCCTAAATTAATGTTAAAGTTGGTTGAGTGTTTTAAAATACATTAGCCTTCCTCTTTAGAAAACGTAGATACTTGCTGCTTTTCCAGAGGTAACGAATGTTTTCTCAGACCTACTATACTCCCTATCCTTTGTATTATATAACAATATATCATCCATAAATGTGAAATGTTTAGTTTTTCCTCTCTCTTGTTTTATAACACTGCCTATTTCCTAGACTTTAAAATATAACATTTTAAGGAATCCCATTCTTCACTGTGAGACTATTTTGACTATTCTTTTTTTTTTTGAGTCAGAGTCTCACCCAGGCTGGAGTGCACTGACATACTCACAGCCACCGCAGCCTTGACCTACTGGGCTCAGGCAATCCTTCTGCCTCAGCCTTCCAAGTAGCTGGACTCACAGGCAGTGCCACCACACCTGACTAATTTTTTGAATTATTGTAGAGACAAGGTCCCGCCATGTTTCTCAGTCTGGTCTCGAACTCCTGAGCTCAGGTAATCCTCTTGCCTCCACCTCCCAAATTGCTGGAATTACAGACTTGAGCCACCATGCCTGGCTTATTTTGTCTTTTCTTAACCACTGTGGTTTACTGCCTCTCAAAAGACTATTATCAGCTACTGTGGTCTGAAAGTGGCATGTAGAATTTTTTTAAATTTAATTTTTTTATTTTAAAGATGTTGGGTATAATTCAGGGTTAGGTATACCGGCATTGATTATGCAGGTACCCTTGAGGATGAGGTGTGCCCCTCCCTTCCCTAGCAGTTTCATTCAACTGCCAATCCCACCCCCTCTCCCTTGGTAGTTTCCCACTACTGTCAATGCCTTATTATTATGTACTATGATATTTGATAATTATGTATTATGATATTGTATTATGACATTTGTTCAAGGTCCACTTACGAGTGAGAACTTACAGTACTCTGTCCTTTGTTTCTGTGATAGATCACTGAGTATGATTGACTCTAAATCCATCCAAGTTGCTGTGAAGTCCATATGTTTGTCCTTTATGTCTGCATAATATTCCACTGTGTATATGTACCACATTTTTTTTAATCCAGTCCAGCTTCAATGGGCAGCTTGGTTGGTTCCATGTTTTTGCTATTGTGACTAGAGCTGCAACAAACATAGGTGTGCAGGTATCTTTTTTGGAGAATGATTTGAGTTCCTCCGGGTATATTCCCAATAGGGGAATTGCTGCTGGGTCATATGGAAGGTCAATTTTTAGTTCTTTCAGAAATTACCACACTGTCTTCCAAAGAGGTTGCATTAGTTTGCATTCCCACCAGCAGTGTAGAAGTGTTCCTTTTTCTTCCTCGCCAGCATCTGTTGTTGTTTGTTCTATTAATGATGGCCATTTTTACTGGGGTTAGGTGGTATCTCAAGATAGCCCACTTGTCTATCTTACTTTTTATGGTATGGGTTCTTAGGGTTCTCATCAGTAATTGGTTACCAGTTCCAATTTCCATAAGGGTATATATCCTGCGTTTTCTAAGATTCTTATAGTATGAGGTTTTACATTTAAGTCTTTGATCCATTTAGAGTTAATTTTTGTGTAAGATGATAGGTAGGGGTCCTGTTTCAATCTTCTGCATGTGATCAGCTTGTTTTCCCAGCACCATTTACTGAATAGGTTCTCCTCTCCCCAGTGGTTGTTGGAGGCTTTGTCAAAGATGAGTTGGTTGAGAAATTGAGACTTTGCTTCCAGAATCTCTATCCTGTTCCATTGGTCTCTGTGCCTGTTCTTGTACCAATACCAGGCTGATTTGATTAATGTTGTCTTATAGTAAAGTTTGAAGTTTGGATGTGTGATACCTCCTGCTTTGTTTCTTTTGTTAAGGATTGTTTTGGCTATTCATGGTCATTTATGTTTCCATATGAATTTCTGTATTGTCCTTTCCAGGTCTGAGAAGAATGATGTTGATAACTTAATGGGTATTGTATTGAATCTATAGATTGCCTTTGGTAGGGTGGACATTTTATTTATTTTTTATTTTTATTTTATTTATTTTTTTTGAGTTGGAGTCTCACTCTGTCGCCCAGACTGAAGTGCAGTGGCCGCTCCTAGCCATTGCAGCCTCGACCTGCTGGGCTCCGGCGATCCTTCCACCTCAGCCTTCCAAGTAGCCGGAATTACAGGCATGCGCAACCACACCCGGCTGATTTTTTTATTTATTGTAGAGATGCGGTCTTGCCACCCAGGCGGGTCTCGAACCTGTGGGCTCAGGCAATCCACTCACCTCAGCCTCCCAAAGCACGGGATTACAAGCTGAGCCACTGAGCCTGGCTAGGATGGACATTTTAACAATGTTGATTCTTCCTACCATGAGCATGGAATATTTTTCCAATTGTTTGTATCTTCTTGGATTTCTTTGAGCAGTGTTTTGTAGTTCTCATTGTAAAGGTCTTTCACTTCTCTGGTTAGGAAGATACCGAGATATTTCATTTTTTTGTGTGGCTCTTGTGAATGGGATTGTGCTTTTAATTTCGGTCTATGCCTGCTTGTTGTTGGTGTATAGTAATGCAACTGTCTTTTTTGCACATTTATTTTGTACCCTGAGATTTTTGAAAGTCTTTTATCAGTGCAAGTAGGTTTTTGACAGATTTTCTTGGATTTTCAAGGTATAGAATCATATCATCTGCAAAGAGGGATAACTTGACTTCCTCTTTTCCTATTTGGATACCCCTGATTTCCTTCTCTTGTCTAATTGCCCGAGCTGGGACTTCCAACACAATGTTGAACAGAGGGGTGTGAGTGGGCAGCCTTGTCTTGTTCCAGTTTTCAGGGGAAATGTTTCTAGTTTCTGTCCATTTAGCACTGTGTTAGCTGTGGGTTTATCATAGATGGCACTTACTAGTTTTATAGTTCCTTCTATACGTAGGTGTTTGAGGGTTTTTATCAAGAAGCAATGCTGGATTTTATCATAAGCTTTTTCTGTGTCTAATGAGATAATCATGTGGTTCTTGTTTTTACATCTGTTGATGTATTTAATTACTTTTATGGTCTTGCAAATGTCAAACCAGCCCTGCATTCCGGGAATGAAGCCTACTTGGTCATGGTGGATGATTTTTGAGATGTGCTTTTGAATCTGATTTGCTAGAATCTTGTTGAGGCTTTTTGCATCCATGTTCATAAGGGATATTGACCTGTAGTTCTCTTTTTTTATTGGATCTGTTCCCGGTTTGGGTACCAGTGTGATGTTAGTTTCGTAAAATGATTTGGGGTGAATTACATTTTTCTCAATTGTCTGGAATACTTTCAATAGGATTGGTATCTGCTACTCCTTGTACATTTTGTAGAATTTTGCTGGAAAGCCATCTGGTCCAGAACTTTTTTTTATAGGTAGTTTTCATATGACAGAGTCAATTTTCTGGGTTGTTATTGGCCTATTTAGTGTCTCAGTGTCTTCTTGTTTCAACCTGGGGAGGTTGTATAATGTCAGAAAGTCCTCCATTTCAGCCATGTAGAATTTTTAAAAGAGAGACTCCTTTGATGACACTTTTTAAAATTTAAAGACACAGGTGCTTAAAATGAAGAGTAAATTCAGATTCTACAAAGCTCTACTTGAACAGTTTTACAATGTTGTCACATATGTTGTACAAAGTATTTAGGATTTGCTAAGTGATGGTATATTATACCAGTATTTAACTTTGAAGACTTAATTTGTTATAGTTTCCTGTATGACAGTCTTATTATGTAGACTACATTAGTGACAATTCTTCATCACTTCGATTTATTTTATATACGAATTAATTTTTTCAAGAGATTATTGCTGTCATTTGCTGATAATTTATAAACGGATTTTTTAACCTTGTTCTTCTTATTCCAAATAGATTATTATGACATTAGCAGAGGATTTGCTGTGTTCTGCAGCTCAAAACAGTCGCCTTTCAGCTCAGCGCACACAAGCTGGATGGTTGCTGATTGCTGCTCTGATGACATTAGGTAACAACCTTGTGGAAGGTTTATGTAACTTGAAATACTTTGAAGTCGGGCTCGTTGGCTCAGCCTGTAATCCCATGCTTTGGGAGGCTGAGGTGAGTGAATTGCCTGAGCCCGCGGGTTCAAGACCCGCCTGGGCAACTTGGCGAGACCTCATCTCTACAATAATCAAAAAACTAGCCGGGCGCAGTAGCGTGTGCCTGTAGTTCCAGCTCCTTGGAAGGCTGAGGCGGAAGGATCGCTGAAGCCCAGCAGGTCAAGGCTGCGGCGGCCGGGAGCGGCCACTGCACTCCAGTCTGGGTGACAGAGTGAGACTCCAACTCAAAAAAAAAAAAAAAGAAATACTTTGTGTGTTCTGAGTGATAGGATTCTTATATGTGATTTGATGACACTAACTTCTACTATATACCAGAATTTAAATAGCCACACATTTTTCTTCTAGTCGTCACCTTAAGAAGCCATTTACTTTCTTTATTGCTTAAAAAATTTACAGATCTCCTTTGAATTTTCTTCAGTTTATAAGCCTCAAGTAGGATAAGCCAATTTAGTTATCTTTCAGGATTAACTCTGAATAGCTGTGGGTTTTCCAATACTCATTTTTATCTAGCTACAGAAAAAAAATTGCATCTACAGTATAAGTATAGAAAGAGAAAATACTATAGCCTATTAATACAGTTCTATATTTTTTTTTGAGGAGTGGTAATAGCCAATAAGTTTGCTACATTGAAGGGGATAGGCTGTTTTTATCAAAAATCAGTAACTATTTATGTCCTTGGTTTTCAAGGTATAGGATCATATCACTGTGTCACCCAGGCTAGAGTGCAGTGGCACGCCCACAGCCATGGCAGCCTTGACCTGCTGGGCTTCGTTAATCCTTCCACCTCAGCCTTCCAAGTAGCTGGAACTACAAGCATGTGCCACCACACCCAGCTACTTTTTTGATTTATTGTAGATACGAAGTCTCACCATGCTGCCCAGGATGGTGTCCTGTTTCTTTGAAACCTAATTTTCTTACTTTATCACAGCTATATTTTGTTTTAAATTTCTGTTTTCATATACATTATTGCTAGGATATAAAACAACTAGTGAGATTTGACCAATAAATCATTTTGAGACCTATGAAGTAATTTGACCTAAGAGGAGCTTAAATTAAAATAAATAGTTTTAAATGATAAACTATTTTAAGTAATGTTCTTAAGATGATTAAAGAGATCCATTGCACTAGGTTAGGTTTAGCTTCAAAGGGCTAAGTCTGGTTTGCCACCAACATTTATTATGCAACCTTTAAGGTAAGAATTTTTTTTTTTTTGAGTTGGAGTCTCACTCCATTACCCAGGATGGAGTGTGGTGGCATACTCACGGTCACCACAGTCTCAACCTGCTGGGCTCAGGCAATCATTCAGCCTCAGCCTTCCAAGTAGCTGGAACTACAGGCATGCACCACCACACCTGGCTAATTTTTAAAAATTTATTATAGAGACAAGGTTTCACCAAGTTGCCCAGGCTGGTCTCAAACTCTTGGACTCAGGCAATCCTCTTGCCTCCCCCATCCAAAGTGCTGGGATTATAGGCATGAACCCCTGTGCCCGGCTGTATTTTTTTTTTTTTTTTGAGTTGGAGTCTCACTCTGTCGCCCAGACTGGAGTGCAGTGGCCACTCCTGGCCACTGCAGCCTCTACCTGCTGGGCTCCAGCGATCCTTCCGCCACAGCCTTCCAAGTAACCGGAATTACAGGCATGCGCTACCACGCCCGGCTGATTTTTTGATTTATTGTAGAGATGAGGTCTCGCTGCCCAGGCGGGTCTCGAACCCGTGGGCTCAGGCAGGCAATCCACTTACCTCAACCTCCCAAAGGCGCAGGACTACAGGCTGAGCCACTGAGCCCGGCCTGTATTTTTTTAATGGTTGTAAAAAGAAGGATATTTTGTGATACATGAGAATTATATGAAAGTCAAATTTTAGTGTCCATCGTTTTATTTGAGTACAGCCATACTTCATTGTTTGCAAATTATCTGTGACCTGCAGGTGCTGCGGTGACAGAGTTGAGTAATTATAACAGAGTATGGCTCTCAAAATCTAAAATATTTATGGTCTGCCTCTTTACAGAAAATGTTATCCCCTAGCATAGATCATCATTTCACAGTGTGCTGGGAATAATGTAGTCAAACTTTGATTTGCATTTTGCTGCGTGTTTCATGCCTGCCGTATTGGTGTTCTTGGTGAATTAAAGGGGAAACAAACTATTTAATAAATGCTATTTTGACAAGGTAATTACATTAGAGGAAGACACCAAGAGGTCCTTTCTCCTTTAAAAAAGAGATCAGTGCATCATGTTGTATATCCATAATCAATATGCAAAAAGGGATTAAAAATTTTAATTAATATTTTAATTACTATGTTTTCTTAGGTTTTCTTCTTTTTCTTATGCATTATTCTTTCCCTTATTTATCAATTTTTAGAATGTGTTAGGATCATAGCAGCTTTCAAAGAGCATCACTGAGGTTTTTGTTGTTAGGTATTGTTATAAACTCATGGAATTTTATATGTTTTAATCAGTTGATTCTCAATTTGATTCTCAAATTGTCTCATCTTTCATCACTGGGAGCCCCTTCTAATTAGTCCACATGTCTTTTTAACATGAACCTAGTATTCTTTGATAATGTGTTTGTTTTTGGGCATGCAAGATGCCCCAGGTTTTATATTATATGTTCCTGCCATAGGCTTGCCTCAGCCATCTCTCCAAGGAGCCTTCTTTTGTGGGAAATAGTTTTCAAACAAAAACCATCAAGTGCTTCTTCCATTTTTGCCTTGCATTTTTAATACCTCCTCTGTATTTTTATCATTCCCTTCACCATTTAGAATTTTCTTCATTATGTTACTCTGAACTAATATAAGCACAAATAAATCACATTCATTCCATTTCTTACTCATGAACTACAACACTTTTAAACTGTTTTGCTGCACTTCCCAGTGTATCGATGTCATATGAAACAACTGTAGTTCATCTACAGGTATCTCCATATCCTGTATATCTGTGAATGGCTCATAATGTGTGTGTGTGTGTGTGTGTGTTGTTTTTGTTAGGTACAATATTATTCTTAGGCAAGAAAAATTTATTCTTGTTTATATTTTTAACTTTGGAATTACTGTAAACTCATTTTTAGTTTAGCTCATATATGTCCCTAAATGATAGTCTCTTAATACCTCTCTAGGAGAAAGATGTTACACTGTTCACTGTTGAATTAGTGAGTTATCTTAAGGCAAATGGCAAATATTTATGAAATGCTTCTCAATTATGGACATGCTTGTATCTGTACACTTACTTCATTTTTTTGGTGTAGCTAAATTTTGCTTTCAGAAGTATCTGTATTCCCACAGCCCATTATATGAGTGTCAGTTGCACACTCATTCACTCACTCACACACAAGCTTCTTTTTTTTTTTGAGTTGAAGTCTCACTCTGTCGCCCAGACTGGAGTGCAGTGGCCGCTCCCGGCCACCGCAGCCTCGACCTGCTGGGCTCTGGCCATCCTTTCGCTCAGCCTTCCAAGTAGCTGGAACTACAGGCGCGTGCTACCATGCCCGGCTAATTTTTTGATTTATTGTAGAGATGAGTTCTCGCCAAGTTGCCTAGACAGGTATCGAACCCATGGGCTCAGGCAATCCACTCACCTCGGCCTCCCAGGAGGCCGAGATGAGTGGATTGCCTGAGCCCGTGGGTTTGAGAGCCACCGAGCCTGGCCACACACAAGCTTCTTACAGTCACTTATTATTTTTTTTTATTTTTTATTTTTTTTTGAGTCAGAGTCTCACTCTGTCACCCAGGCTGGAGTGCAGTGGCACGTTCATGGCCACTGCAGCCTTGACATGCTGGACTCAGAAGATCCTTCCACCTCAGCCTTCCAAGTAGCTGGAACCACAGGCATGTGCCACCACACCTGGCCAATTTTGTAAAATTTATTGTAGAGATGAGGTCTCGCCAAGTTGCCCAGGCTGGTCCCAAACCCATGGGCTCAGGCAGTCCTCTCAACTTGGCCTCCCAAAGTGCTGGAATTATAGGTGTGAGCTACTGCATCCGGCTCAGTCACTTATTCTTAATGACCTCATTCATATTTCTTTTATTCCAATTCTTGTTATTTTTTAGTACTACTTCATCAGGAAAATGACAAGCAACAAGTGTTGAATTTGTTTTGCTGTAGAGATTAGCATTGTGCCACTTTCTAAGAAGCAAGTCAGGAAAAAAGAGAAATTAATTATTTTTAAACTTCTAAACTGCATGCATTAAAAAAAAGTTTGGAGCCGGGCTCGGTGGCTCAGCCTGTAATCCTGCACTTTGGGAGGCTGAGGTGAGTGAATTGCCTGAACCTGCGGGTTCGAGACCTGCCTGGGCA